AAACAGATGAAGGTACCAGGATGGACAGCTGCATAAAAGATTCAATAAAAAAGTTCAAACAAAAACAAATTAAGAATATTTTTCAGTTTTGCAAACATAATTACATCCTCAGTTCAATTAAAAGGGCAGCAGAAATCACCAACATCTAAAAACTCAGAAAATACAACCTAAATTATCTGCTTGGCTGGATGCTGTGTGAGTGAGTGAACAGGTGAGATGATATCTTCCTTTCTAAGGTGCTGCTGTGCTGGATTGTACTGAACATATTTTATGTACCAGTTTGACTGCTGTGTAGCTGCAGAGGATAAATAATAGTTGAAAAGATCCCTATTACACTGGTGATAATGGTGATGATGATGATGTTGCACAGATTCTGAATGCTCTTTCACAGGGGAAAACCGTTTTGACTGTACATTATGTGTCTGGGCGGCGGTCACAGCAAGGAGGGGTGAAGATGGAGCATGATGAGGGTGGAGGGAAGGGGGGTGGTGTTACAGACACGTTTGTCTTTGATAGCTCAGGTGGTCATCACCCGAGGGGGAAAAGAGCATTAATGGGCATTCTCAGCAGCAGACAAGCACAGGCTAGTGCTCCCTCTTCGCCGGCTGCCGTAAACAGGGGGAAGTATGCATCATTAGATTAAGCTGAGGCTAAGTACCTGCAGTCAAGTCCACTTCTTACAGTAGCAGGGTGCACAGACACATCCTCTCTGCTTGGCTTGGACAGAAGAGGGACTAGAGGGATTGGTCAGCTTGCTAAGTGATTACCTGTAACACTGAAAGATGTATGATTATAGGTTGCATGATTTGTCAGCATCTCTATTACAGCAATTATGCAGGGTATCATAACTAACCATTTACAGAAAATCTGGATCATATTAAGAGACAAAAGAAGAATCTTTTAAAGGATTTGACCTGTGGGTGAATGCACTGACACAGGCTGAGCATAGCAGGATTATCTGGTTAAACTTAAAAGTCAGAAAAAGAATAATAGTAGAAAACTTCAGAGCAAGAGATTATGCTTGATTTTTGTTAAAGGAAAACATATTTAAAACACACACACACACACACACACACAC